TCCCTTTTGTCCCCTGCGCGCCCGCCACGGGGTAGGGCGGCGGTTTGCTTTCCGGCCAGCTCGCCCCTTCCCTTCCCGCGGCAGGCCCTCCCCGGGAGCCGCAGCCTGAACCCGGAGCGCCGCAGCCGGCCGCTCCCCTCCCCCACTCTCCTTTCTCTGCGGCCGGCGGGGGGAGGGGGCGGCGTTCTCCGATAGAGCAGCTATTGTGACCTTCCCTCGGAGAGTGGGAGCCCAGCCGAGTGTGCACCGCCGGCGGTGGCGGGGGAGGAGGCGGCTGTGTGTGCAAACCTCGGGGACGGAGGGGAAATAAATAAAACTTTGCAACCTCGGGCAGTTGGGCCCTTCAGAGGGCGTTTGGTTGTGTTTAGACTCTGGTGCTTCCTAACACTAATTGCAGGCTCAAAGGGAGCAGAATTTATGGCGAAGGCCAAGGCAGCTTGTTTATAATTTATGAAGTTTTAAATGGCTGTGTCGCAGAGCCCACTCTCGCCCTGGCCTGTGGCCGCGCGGAAAGCGCCCTCCCCAGACTCCCCACCCACGCGACTTAGTGTGGCCCGTCCGCGCCATTCTCAGAAGCTTCGGGGAAGCTTTCTCCAAGAATGAGAGGGAGCCGCAGATTTGTCCCAAGAGAACTCCTCCACCCCACCGGAGATGGTGCCTCCGGGCGGCCGCGGCTGCCTGGAGCGGGAGCCCTGAACCCCGCGCTTCTTCGGAGTCTTAGTGTGAGAGGAAGCTGGTGTCAGCCCGGCTAGACACCGTTTAAAGTCTAATCCATGAAACCCTAAGCCGCAGATGACACTTGGGGCCTTGCAGACACCCGCAGACTCAGCAGATACTCCTGCGGTTGCAGACCGCACTGGAAAACGCCTGGAGCCATGATGCATTATGTATTTTTATTACTTATGGTAGGAAGAAGAGAGGAGGGAAAACCGGGCTGAATCTAAACAGCCTGGCAATTCATCTATTTACTATTTAGCCAGTTAAGAAAGATTGTTATCCCTGCAAAGCAGCAAGCTCTTCTTTGATTTCCCTAATAATTTTAAAAATAGTTTCTTACAATTAGAAATCCTGCCTATGGACGCAAATTTCATAGAAAACAATTTTAAGCCTTGAAAGTGGGTAAACTATCCCTTCGGTTGAAGTCATTTATTCTTGCGGATAACTTCTACAACATGGATATTTTAAACCTGCTCAGAAAAGGTGAAATTTAGCAAAAGGATAACCCCCTCCGGCCCCCAACCTAACCTGCCATTTTTTTTTAAACGGCACAAAAGAACAAGGAAACTAAATGTTTTTTTAAGCCATCATTATTTAGCGAAACACAAACATCCAAATGGAAACGGTTGTTATTCCACCAGAAGATTAGAAGTTAAATTATTTCCACACAATAGGAATTTCACCTCGTGTCACCAGGGATGTAGTAGGAGTTGCAGTATTTGTCAAACCAAATAGAGATGTGTGGGCCGACTTTGCTGAAATACAAAGAATTGAACCTTATCCGAAGGCGTTTTCCAAGTGCCTCCTCCCAGAGAAGTGGGTGGAAGTTGTCCACCCCTAGCTAAAGCCACGCTGCTATTTACACAATGGTGATAAATCCTCGGAGACATTTTTTGCCCATTTCGTACAAAGGAACAGGAGAAAACAAGGTGTTTATACTTAGGTTCAGTTAATGAAACTTTTATTACTTTACATCATGGGGAATGCGTGTTTCCTTTAGAAATGAACCGCCAACCACTATAAAGGAAAAAGTCCTGACAGCACTTCCTAGAGACAAGGCTTAGGTGCCTGGTCTCCAAATGATCGTTTCTCTTCCCGCACCTTAGCCTTTTCGCAGCTCAGTTCTTCTTATGACTTCTCATGTATCTTTTCTTCTGATTGTCAGTTTTCTTTCAAAGTTCTTTTTTATTACTTAACACAGAAAAGTGAGGTCTGGCCTCCCCAATGTAAATGCAATCTAAGAAAAGTAGATTTGTGTCTAGAAAGACGGGTAGAAACAACAAAGCAGGCACAGTACAACGCTCTACCCAGATCACCGCCTGCAACATTTCTAGGTTTGCATCCTCCGGTTCTTCCCCCGCATGTCAGTAGCTGGGATGTGATCAAGTATCCCAGAACCAATGTGTGCACTCGATCCCAGATACATGAAAAAACGTATTTCCAAGGTTCCGCCTATTGGGGGGTCTTCCATTGAGATTGTGGGGGAAAATAAAGGCAGTGATCTACTGGCAAGGGTGTGTGATTAACACAGACACTCTTCCAACTGAGAAATTCTTTATTCTAAATATTTGTTCAAATAGTACCAGACAATTTGAAATCAATAAACTGTGTCGAGTTGGAGGGCTGTGGCTGTTTGAGAAATGAGTAACGGGTGTCGTCTGACTCTACCCATGAAGGACAATTTGCGGTCTTAATCCTTTACATCAACTACAAACACCAGCCACGGTTACAACTGTTCAAAACTACTCTCTCAGCTAGTTCAGACCAAAGGGACTAAAGAGATGAAATGTGGCCCCCGAGGCCTGGGAGCACGTTCCCTAAGCTGGCTGGAGAATTCTACAAGTATACACATAAATACATTAAGACGAGGATAAATAATCAGAGAAACGAAATGACTCGCTTCAAATAATAAATACAGATTGTTGAGTCCGATTCCATCCTTACAGGACGGGAAGGAGCATATAAATTAAGGTCTCCGCAACTCGGCTAGCCACGGGCCAGGCCCGGAGCTCTCCAGGCTCCGGTCCTTCTGCCGAGCGCGCTGCCAGCGAATCTCAGACTTACCTTCGGGACATCATTCCCAGACCAGAGCCCCTGGGTCCGCAGTATTTGGCACTGTCAGGCTTACAGAGGAGAATCCTTGCGGTTGATTTATGGCGAATCACCCAAAGGAGGGCGCGCCTGGAGGGGAGGCCCGGTCGCCTGCACTTCGGGCCGCTGTTGGCCCGAAACCGGGGAGGCAGCGACCAGGACAGGGCGAGGGAGGCAACTGTAGTCCACGCTGGCCGAAGACGGATGCGAGAGGTGGCCCAGGTTGAAGACCGGCCCGGACGCGGGTGCCATGGAGTCGACGAAGTTACCGCCCACGTACACGGGGCTTCCCTGCAGGT